AGACATTGACCACTCTATTGCTGAAGTCGTATTTCCTGCAATCAAGTTTGGTGCGGTTAACTTTGAGTTTGTATCTATTGTGTGCTCTTGTGTTGTTATGGTTGAAGCTGAAGTATTCATTGACAGGTAGGACATTGCAATGTATGATTTTATATACCATGCTTAAATCAGACCGAAGACGGCGTAATTCAAGGTTTTCTAGTTCTAGAATTTCAAGTCTGGTGGCATAAGGTATTCTACAACGAGTAGAGGAGTATATTTCTTCTTGTGAAATATTTCTGGACTTTCTCAATTGTGCTAATATCAGATACGTAATGTGGGTTCCAGACTGATGAACTGTATTCGAGTATTGGTCTAGCAAATGTTTTGTATGCTCTGGTTAGTAGTGTGATATTACCAGAGAAAAAGCTACGTAGGATTAGGTTAACAACTCTTAATGCCTTTTTGGCTATGTAGTTGCAGTGTGCTCTAGCACTTAGATCATTAGAGGTGAGTATTCCAAGGTCCTTTACAGAGCTTGGGTCATCAACAAGTTCTTGACTATTCAGCTTGTATTTTATTTTCTGATTTTTTTTGCCAATATGTAAGACAGAGCATTTATTTGTTGAGATTTGAAGTTGCCATTTGTTTGACCATTCTGATACATAGTCAAGATCTTTTTGTAGGGTAGCAGTATTGTCTGTGGTATTGAACAGCTTTACATCATCAGCGAAGAGAACGCAATTGCTCTTAATATGATCACAGAGGTCGTTTATGTAGAGTATGAAGAGAGTTGGTCCTAGAACACTGCCCTGGGGGACACCACTATTGACAGGTACTGGATTTGATAGGACGCTCCCGATTTTGACCATTTGTTGTCTGTTTGACAGGAATGCTTCTATCCAGTTATTCAGTTGTCCAGAGATACCATAGGATTTTATTTTTAGGAGTAGTTTGTCGTGTACCACTGAATCAAAGGCTTTACAGAAGTCTATGTAGATTGCGTCTATTGTTTTGCCCTGGTCGAGTTGTGTCGTCCATATGTTTTTGCAGTGTAAGAGTTGCAGATTACAGGATAGTTTTTTTCTGAAACCAAATTGTTTATTGGAGAGTAGGTTGTTTGTCTCTAAGTGGAGGATCATGGATTGGTTAATAATTGATTCCATGACTTTACAGGTGATGCAGCATAAGGAGATTGGCCTGTAATTTTCAACTAGGCTTGGGTCTCCCTTTTTGAAGATGGGGATGACTGTGGCTTGTGACCATAGGTTAGGCAAGGAGCTGGTTCTGAAAGATTTTTCAAAGATTATGCTTAGAGGTTTGGCTATGGCAGTGGATAGCTTTCTTAAGAAGTAGGCACATATTCCATCCGGTCCAATAGATAGAGATGGTTTTAGGTTGCGTATTGCTTTTTCAACATTGTCTTCTGTGAAATCGATATGTATTAGATCATTGTTGTTATCTGTGGTACGGCTAGGAAATATTGGGCATGATCCATTGCTGTTTACAAATACTGAGCCGAAGAATGTGTTAAAGATGTTGGCTTTAATGGTGTCGTCGTTGCAGTCTTTACCATCAGGTCCTATCAGGGGAGGGATGGACCTTGAGTCTTTTAGTTTGTTGTTTACAAAATTGTAAAAAGCACGGGTGGAATTGGTGCTTAGAAGGTTTTCCTCTTGTTTAATGTGATAATTGGTGCATTCGGTCTTTATCTGGTGGCATAGATTTTTGTATCGGTTTTTGAAATTGGCAATTTGTTTTTCCGCCAGAGTGATCTCTTTTTGGATTGAAGTTTCCTTATTGATATGGGTAATCTGCTTTTTTGTTTTGTTTTGGGAGTTGTTGTTGGTACATATAGTTTGATGACTCTTTTGACTTCAAGTAAAAATATGTTATAATGGTCTTCAACGGTATTGCATCCAGTGAATAGAGATTGCCAATCAAGGGATGAGAGATCGTTGTCTATAAGATCATAGTTGCCTTTTTTGAAGTTACAATAGGGGATTACATCATTGTGGTGATTTTTGTGTGGATGTATGTTGAGACAAAAGTCGATCATATTGTGGTCACTACTGGAAAAGGGTTCTTTAGATTGTATTCTATAGATTAGGTTCAAACTGTTGCAGAAGATGAGATCGAGGCAGTTGTTTAGTCTAGTGTTGTTGGTTACTAGTTGTTCCAGTCCCAGATTTGTAATAGCATTGTAGAAGGTTGTGTGTATGATTTCAGTTGTACAATCATTTAGGGTCCAGTTAATATGAGGTAGATTGAAATCACCAAGAAGGATAAAAGGGTATGGGCAGGATGCAGCCCATGTTAGTAATGTATTTAGCTTGTTTACATGTTCGATGTCATAATCAGGTGCTCTGTAACATAGTAAGAATCGAATTGTGATATTTAAGGATAGTTCACAGATGATGGTCTCAGGAAGAGCAAGCTCCTGGGTAACTTGGATATTTTTTAGATGTAAGGACTTTTTATAGAAGATAGCAACACCACCTCCTCTACAAATTTCACGATCTGATCGGTAAACATGATAGTCTCTTACTGTGGTAATGGAGTCAGGGAGAGATGCATTGAGCCATGTTTCACAGACAAATATAATGTCGAATTTAGCCATATTTAGTAGGAGGAAAAATTCAGGTATTTTATTCACGAGGCTTCTTGCATTGAGTAGTTTGCATTTAAGGCCAGCAGTAGTTGGAATTGAGGTAGTTAGGGGCGTGCATGCCTAGTCTTGGGTGATGGTGGATCGGTTGAGGTAGGGTTGTGGTTGAAGGTTAAAGCTGAGTTGCTGGTTGTGTGACTTACTTTTGATACAGTCAGCATGGTAGTCAATGTACAGGTCCTTCTCTCCATTGTCTAGACGTTTTTTGAGTTCAGCGCAGAGTACACGGGAGCGGGCACGTTGCTGTATGGTTAGGTCAGGGCGACAACGGAGGTTCTTATGGTTGGTGTTGGTTTTGGTGAGTGAATTTATAGTGTAAATGAATTTACGTTTGCTTGATTCATTTTTGCAAATGACTGCTGGCCTTATAATGTGTATTAGACTATTAGAACTACAATTTCATAACTATAAAGCTTAAAGTATTTGGTAATAATGTTTTTAATGCAAGATGTAGTGGCTTATTGTGTAAATTTTCATAGCAAGAAAATTTGTGTTAATGTAACAGAAACAATAAAACTGAGCAAGCTGGAAAAATAAGTTCATGCTGATGTTCAGAACTTAAACTTCTAAAATCAAACACCATCTACTAAATTATATTTTCTTCACATAACTCATTCTTTCTATGTGAAAAATTACAAATGATGTAAAGAGTGGCCAAAATTTTATTTAAAAAAATCTCTCTTATTTTAACCTTGATCAAACAAACCAAAATTATATTCCTTTCTTTTACTAACAATCCTGATTTTTAATTCATATAAATGTTATTGTAGGATCTTTCTTTTTCCCATTGAAAAGGCTTACTTGAAGTTTGGCAAATCTGATGTAAATTCAGTAAAAAGACATTATTCAGGTCATTGTCTTGATTTATCGTTTATGTTTCCCCCTTTGATTTTCAAAGCTTTAACCAGCTTCTTTTATATATCCAATAAAAAATCTTTATTAGGTCATTCTCTTGGCTTCTCATTTATTATTCCACTTTCACTGTCTTCTCTATATTGCAATCCAGACTTTTTCCTGTCACTTGTAGGTTCAGTTTAGATACCTTGCTATTTTGTAATCCACACTTTTTAAAATATATCTAATCTTTCTGATTCCACTATTTCTACCTCAAACAAACAACATCAATTAAATATTGATATTGATGACATTACAGCTACTAGTTATTGGTGTCATTCTTCAAAGATCTTGTTGAATATTTCAAATGTTATGATATTTTGTGTGATTTTGTAAATCCCAAACTTAATCTAAACCCACAGGAGTTAATTTACTTAGTCTAAACTAAAGGTAGGGTTTTAGTTTCCCTTTTTCCTGGAATGTAGTTTCTTCTAATATCCAATTTTTTAAAGATTTATTTTTTACCCTGATTTTTTTTCATATTTAAATCAAGGTGGCAAACATACCTAATATTTCTTCCTTCTCCTACTTATCCAACAATAGCAAACCAATGAGTTATGTTGGCCTGAGAGTGAGTGACTGGCTCAAAATGATCCAGCTGGTTTTCATGCCTAAGACGGACAAACTCACAGTCTCCTGCTATAGACCGACACCTTAACAACTACACCAATTTAAATAATAGTTTCTTATCTCTGTTATGAGTTACAGTAGCCAGAATAGCTTTGGTTCTCATGAAAGTGGTTATTTTATATTGTTAGTTCCAACATCTTACAGTAAACGTTTCAATATTCCAAATATTGGTCTGGACCCTTAATTTGTTTATAACTTTCTTGATTCAAAATCTTGTTTAGCTTTTGTTTATTTCACATTCTTTAAGTTCTTAAACTTATGGTTAATTTTTCTTTTGTTCAGAAACAAAATTAGGTTCACCAGGTGACTATACAAACTTGTCATTCCAAAGACTTCTAATACTTTAAAATATTTAAATAAGTGGTTTCCAAAGGGATTAGAGTATAATTAGCATAGTATCCTTTTAAAAGGTCTGCTGCAATTATGAGTTTATGATTGATCTCTTTGTCTCCTCACTCAGACCCACTAGAAATTGCTCTCTTGCAGACTCCTCATGAGGAGCAGCCATCCAAACACATATGAGTGATTTCCCATCATCTCCTTCACCAAACAGTTTTCAAAGAACCGGGTCAATCACGAATGGAGATCTATTTAGGCAAAGCATACTTGCTATATATAGATCTATTTTATATAACTGAATAATTTATATAACAGACGTAAGTTTTAGCTTCACATCAATACTATTAGGCACAGAGGAAAAGTGCATTGTGTAAGACTGCTCAAGGAAGTTTCATAGCTGAAAGAAACTATGAACATGTGGGTGGATGTGTACATTTGGGGATTATGCAAAGATTTGATTAAAAGTTTTATTGGCAACTTCATCCAATAACTGGTCACAATCAAGTTGAGTTTTTCTTTAATTTGATGTGTACACCCTAAATCCATGATGGAGAACCTATGGCACATGTGCCAGAGGTGGCACACAGAGCCCTCTCTGTGGGCACACGAGCCATTGTCCCAGTTCAGCTCCGCCATGCATACGTGCACACCACCCACTGGTCAGCTGGTCTTCGAGTCTCTGCTGTGCATGCTCAGGGGATAGGGGCATATGCAGGAAATATGCATGCATGCATGGGGGTGGCATGTATGCACGGGGGACGCACGCACGTTGCATTTTGGGGATGTGTGCATATGTGCGCTTTGGGCACCCGGTGCCGAAAAGGTTAGCTATCACTGCCCTAGATTCTATAGAGATAGAGAAATATGAAAACAAGTATTCAATCATTCATGGCACAAAGAATGTAGATGTCTTACAAAACTTAAGCGTAGTCCAGGGACTGAAAGGTATTGATCAATGGTGTCTGAATTTATGGGTGGCAACTTGTTCCGGACAACAGGTGTAAATGGAGATGGCAAACGATCTAAGGTAGTGCATCTGTAAGAAAGCAGCATGGACACAGGAATTAACTCTTATTTCAGTTCCTTCCAGTATGGTGAATAAATAACAATTCTGTTGCATATATAGAGATATTAAATATTCAATCTTCTCCAATATAGTGACTTTCAAAAACTGCACTTCTGGAATTTCTGGATATTATAGTCCTAGCACATCTGGAGGGGTCAAACTGGGAAAGCAGAATCTCTTGGAAGCACAAGACATCCACTTAAAATTACACAATCTTAATAATGCATATCTTTCCACTTAAAAATCTGGATCTTATTACTTTAGTTCCTCATACCTGCTTAGTTCCTCATACAGGATTCTATCGTTACTCTTACTATTCTTCATATGTCTACTTTGTGTTACAAGTACACAAAAAGAGAGATCTGCATGAGCCAAATTTACTACACTGCTAAAATGAGTAAATTTTGCAGGCTCAGTTACATTCTTTAGATTAATTTGCTTCTAAGATCACAATGAATCTAATTTTCATAGCTTGAAGGATAACATCTTTAGACTACCATATATGCCGGCGTATAAGACGACCCGGCGTATAAGACGACCCCCCAACATTTCCACTCAAAATATAGTTTGTTATATACTCGCCCGCTCTTCCGCACGCCTTCCACTTTTGCACTTTTTTTTTTTGAGGCACTTTTGCGCACCGTGGAAACGAATCCCGTGAAGCCGAAAGGAGCAGCCAGCCTTCTCCCAGCTCCCAAGGAAACGAGGCTCGCACTGCCCGGGCTCCGCTGAGGTATCCGGCTGGGGCTGTCAGGAGTTGTTACCGCTGGCGCGGCTCCACGCGGCTCCAGTCCCGCGTTGCCTCGGGAAGGGAAAGGCAAAAAGGAAGAGCCGCGGCGGCGCTTTGCAATGGCAGCAGCGGCTCCTGGTTTTGCCTTTCCCTTCCCGAGGCAACGCGGGACTGGAGCCGCGCGGAGCCACGCGGAGCCGCGCCAGCGGTAACAACTCCTGACAGCCCCAGCTGGATACCTCAGCGGAGCTCGGGCGGTGCGAGCCTCGTTTCCTTGGGAGCTGGGAGAAGGCTGGCTGCTCCTTTCGGCTTCACGGGATTCGTTTCCACGGTGCGCAAAAGTGCCTCAGCCGCGGGCAGCCGCAGTGCTTCCCAATTACTATTTGCCGGCGTATAAGACGACCCGGCATATAAGACGACCCCCCCAATTGGAGGCATGTTTTTCAGGGCAAAAAAGTCGTCTTATACGCCGGCAAATACGGTATATAGTTTTCTTCTAAATGCAGTGTTTGTGTCTCAGAATCACAAAATTATTTCTCAGTGCTGTCCAAATTCTATCATCTGAACTCAACATGATCAATATAGTAGGAAAGAACAGAAATAAGATCGTACAATTTTGTTCCTCGCAGGACCTCATCACTGTAAACATTGGGAGTCTTTAAACGTAGTTGGTCTTGTGCTAATGATGGTAACCTACGATGGCCTACTATTTTCTTAGACGATCCAGGCAACACTCGAGGTAATGCTGAGATATTGCTATCAGTCATTCGCCCCACTCGATTCTTTGATGAATTAATACTGGAACCCACACCTTGGAGCTTGTCTTCTTGTTCATACCTGAAAAAGACAGTTTCAACCAAACATCACTCCATTTATATAAGATTAAAGTCTTCAGCAACCTGAAGCTGAATAATAAGTGGATCAGCATTCCCCAATAAAGAAATGCATAAATTGGAATCAATTGGAAAACTAATTCTGCACCAAGTGAGAAATCAAATAAGTTCCTAACCAACCTAGCTGACAACTTTGTTGTCCAAAAGGTTGAGGATGGAACTAGAGGGACAGCCATACTGGACATAATTCTTACAAACAGAGAAGAAGTGATAGAGGGAGTTGAAACTGCAGGAACCTTGGGTGAGAATGACCAGGTCATACTAGAATTCAACATAACACAAACACAAGCAATAGAAAATAATGACACCAGAGTCTTGGATTTTAAAAGAGCTGATTTTAAGAAACTCAGAGAGAACTTGGGAAAGATTCCATGGATGAAAATCCTGAAAGGGGAAAACAACTCAAGAATCTTGGGAAACTCTGAAAAGTACGATCATAGAAGCCCAGACCAGCACAATACCACTAAGAAAGAAAAACAAGAAATCCAAGAAGAAACCAGCATGGCTGCACAAAGATCTCTCTGGCAAATTGAAAGAAAGAAAGTACAAGTACAAAAAATGGAAAGAAGGCCATACAACTAAGGCAGAATATCAGCAGATAGCCAGAATCTGCAAAGACGAAGTCAGGAAAGCAAAGGCTCAGAACAAATAAAGACTTGCAACAAAAGTCAAAAATAATTTTAAAAAAAGTTTCTTCCAACATATAAATAACAAGAAAAAAATCAAGGAAACAGTCGGTCCACTAAAGAGAGAAGATGGCAAGGAAGTAACAGGCAACAGAGAGAAAGCAGAACTGCTTAACTCATTCTTTGCATCAGTCTTCACGCAAAAAGAAACTATAGCTCAACCCACCAAAAACATAACTGTAAAAGACAGACCAGAAATAAAAGTTAAAATAAGCAAAAAAATAATAAGACAACACCTATCTGATCTTGATGAACACAAATCACCGGGGCCTGAGGGATTACATCCCAGAGTTTTAAAGGAGCTGGCATAGGTCATCTCAGAACCACTGCATCATATCTTTCAAAAATCCTGGAGCACCAGGAAACTATGAGAAGACTGGAAAAGAGCTGATGTGGTTCCCACCTTCAAAAAAAAAAAGGGGGGGGGGAAACAGACCCAGGAAACTACAGACCAATCAGCCTAACATCAATACCCGGGAAGATCCTGGAAAAGATAATAAAAAAACAGATCTGCCAACATCTAGAAACAAGTAAAATAATAACTAGCAGTCAGCACGGGTTTGTTAAGAACAAAGAGATGAGATCTTCATGCCAAACCAATCTTATTTCATTCTTCAACATAGTGACTAAAATAGAAGACCAGCAAAATACTGTGGACATAATATACTGCTCAAAAAAATAAAGGGAACACTTAAACAACACAATGTAACTCCACGTCAATCACACTTCTGTGAAATCAAACTGTCCACTTAGGTAGCAACACTGATTGACAATCAATTTCACATGCTGTTGTGTAAATGGAATAGACAAGAGGTGGAAAGCATAGGCAGTTAGCAAGACATCCCCAATAAAGGAGTGGTTCTGCAGGTGGTGACCACAGACCACTTCTCAGTTCCTATGCTTTCTGGCTGATGGTTTGGTCACTTTTGAATGCTGGCGGTACTTTCACTCTAGTGGTAGCATGAGACGGAGTCTACAACCTACACAAGTGGCTCAGGTAGTGCAGATGCTCATCCAGGATGGCACATCAAAGCTGTGGCAAGAAAGTTTGCTATGTCTGTCAGCATAGTGTCCAGAGCCAGGAGACAGGCCAGTACATCAGGAGACGTGGAGGAGGCCGTAGGAGGGCAACAACCCAGCATCAGGACCGCTACCTCCGCCTTTGTGCAAGGAGGGACAGGAGGAACACTGCCAGAGCCCTGCAAAATGACCTCTAGCAGGCCACAAATGTGCATGTGGCTGCTCAAATGGTCAGAAACAGACTCCATGAGGTGGTATGAGGGCTTGACGTCCACAGGTGGGGGTTGTACTTACAACCCAACACCGTGCATGACGTTTGGCATTTGCCAGAGAACACCAAGATTGGCAAATTCACCACTGGTGCCCTGTGCTCTTCACAGATGAAAGCAGCAGGCATGATATTCCCCTCTGAAAAAAAAATCGGGGCCGGCCAAAAGAGACCCCCCACCGCCCGCCGCTCGCGCCGCCCACCCGCCCGCCCGCCCGGGCTCAGCTCGCGCTGCCCGCCGCTCGCCCGCCCGGGCGATTCCCCCAAAAATCGGAATTCTGATTTTAATCGGAATAATATCATGTCTGAAGCAGGTTCACACTGAGCACATGTGACAGACGTGACAGAGTCTGGAGACGCCGTGGAGAACGTTCTGCTGCCTGCAACATCCTCCAGCATGATCGGTTTGGCAGTGGGTCAGTAATGGTGTGGGGTGGCATTTCTTTAGGGAGCCGCACAGCCCTCCATGTGCTCACCAGAGGTAGCCTGATCAGACCCCTTGTGAGACCATATGTTGGTGCGGTTGGCCCTGGGTTCCTCCTAATGCATGACAATGCTAGACCTCATGTGGCTGGAGTGTGTCAGCAGTTCCTGCAAGATGAAGGCATTGATGCTATGGACTGGCACACCTGTTCCCCAGACCTGAATCCAATTGAGCACATCTGGGACATCATGTCTCGCTCCATCCACCAACACCATGTTGCACCACAGACTGTCCAGGAGTTGGGGGATGCTTTAGTCCAGGTGTGGGAGGAGATCCCTCAGGAGACCATCCGCCACCTCATCAGGAGCATGCCCAGGTGTTGTAGGGAGGTCATGCAGGCACATGGATGCCACACCACACTACTGAGCCTCATTTTGACTTGTTTTAAGGACATTACATCAAAGTTGGATCAGCCTGTAGTGTTTTTTTCCACTTTAATTTTGAGTGTAACTCCAAATCCAGACCTCCATGGGTTGCTAAATTTGATTTCCATTGATAATTTGTGTGTGATTTTGTTGTCAGCACATTCAACTATGTAATGAACAAAGTATTTAATAAGAATATTTCATTCATTCAGATCTAGGATGTCTTATTTTTGTGTTCTTTATTTTTGTATATTTAGATTTCAGCAAGGCATTCGACACAATAAACCACAACTTACTTCTTAGTAAGCTAGAAAAAAGTGGAATAGATAGCACCATCACTGGATGGACTCGCAACTGGCTGATGAACCATACTCAACAAGTAGTCCTTAATGGTTCTAAGTCTACGTGGAGGGAAGTAAGTAGTGGGGTGTGCCACAAGGTTCTGTCTTACTCTTCAATATCTTCATTAATAACTTAGATGAGGGAATAGAAGGGGAACTTACCAAATTTGCAGATGATACTAAGCTGGCAGGAATAGCTAACACACAAGAAGATAGGCTCTAGATCCAGATGGATCTTGACAGACTAGAACACTGGGCTGTATCAAACAAAATGAAATTCAATGTAGAGAAAAGTAAAGTCCTACACTTAGGCAAGAAAAAACAAAGGTACACATATAGACTGAGTGAAACCAGGCTCAATAGCAGTAACTGTGAGAGGGATCTTGGAGTCTTAGTGGACAACCAGCTAAATATGAGCCAGCAACGTGCAGCAGCTAAAAAAAGCTAATGCACTCCTAAGTTGTATTAACAAGTGGGATACAATCAAGATCAAGTGAGGTACTAATACCACTCTATAAAGCCTTAGTAAGACCACACCCAGAATACTGCATCCAGTTTTGGTCACCACATTATAAAAAAGATGTTGAGACTCTAGAAAAAGTACAGAGAAGAGCAACCAGGATGATTAGGGGACTGGAGGCTAAAACATACAACGAACGGTTGCAGGAACTGGGCTTGGCTAGTCTAGGAAAGAGAAGGACCAGGAGAGACATGATAGCAGTCTTCCAATATTTGAGGGGTTGCCACAGGGAGGAAGGGGTCAAGCTATTTTCTAAAGCGCCTGTAGGCCAGACAAGGAATAATGGATGGAGATTGAACAAGGAGAGATTCAACCTGGAAATAAGGAGAAACTTTCTGACAGTGAGAACAATCAACCAATGGAACAGCTTCCCTCGGAAGTTGTGGGAGCACCATCACTTGAGACCTTCAAGAAGAAATTGGACTGCCATTTGTCAGAAATGGTGTAGGGTCTCCCGCTTGAGCGGGGGGTTGGACTAGATGACCTATAAGGTCCCTTCCAACTCTGATTATCTGTTATCTGTTAAATTTCAAATCTGATGAATGATTCTGGCATCAGAGATAAGAAACTCACAACTGCCTTTCTCTTGATCTGGACTGATCCAGAGCTCTGTTATCGGCTGCAGAGGGCTTTCCAGAAGGGCCTCTGATGGTGAAACAGAGGCCAGAGGGCGACGCATGCATCAATTTCTTGCCTGCAGAGAGCTTTCCGGATGACTTCTGACAATGAAACACAGGCCGGGTGCAACACGTGCGAGCGACAGCAAGTGGCCGCAGAAGTGGACCGGCAGCAGAAGTGGACCAGGTGGGGCTGTCAGTGCCGCCGCCGCAAGGTGAATCAGTGTAAGACACCCCCCTCCCCCTCCCCAAATAAGACCTGGTGTCTTTTTTGTTGGCAAAAAATATATAGGAACAGGTCTTATTTGTGGGGAAACACGATATTTATCAGTATTCAGTTGGAGGGACAATTTATGTATATGTCTGATTTGCTTTTCATTTTATGCATTCTTGTTTGTGTAGTCTTTAGTGGTATTTTGTTTTGATAATTTTTTCTTTTTGGGGGGGTTTTTATTTTCTTATTTTGAATAAAAATAAAATTGATGATCTACTTCTATCAAGTATGTTATTCCTTTTATCATTTTATAAACCCGGTCTATAATCATAATAAACTTTAACTACCTAATTAAAATAAATAAGGCCAGAAATAAATAAACAAATGTAACCTGTACAAAAGTGTGATTTTATAAGATCTTTGTAAAACATACTTTTCAATGAAGCTTGAATGTCTCTGTTGTAGTGGTTTAGCTTGAATTGTCATGACACCATTTAAATTGCCATGTGAACTGCTGGAGAAACGGTGGGCCTAAAGAAAGCAACAGAAACAAACACAGATATGCCATTCAATATTTATTCCTTAAAACAGTCTTAACATCATAAAGAAGGAAGAAGAGGAAACAAACCTTACTCTCCCCACAACTAAGCATGGGAATATTATTGTCTAGTTTATTTTTAGTCTTATTTTCCCCCAAAATAATAGAAGCAACCATCAGCCACCAGATAACAGCTGCTTTCAGCATTAAATTAACCGTATACAGTTTAGCCTATTGAATATTTTAAAATTCTAAAGAAAGCATGTTCTGGATTGGGTCCACTGTATATAAAAATGGGAAATATAAAACATCTTTAGCAGCATCTTTCTTATGCCCTATGCACTGTACATTGACTCAGGTGAATAAAATGATTCATGCATAGTTAAGAAATATTCAAGACTTTGGGAACAATTTTGTTTAGTATGATGTTTATGATCTCTCCAGCATATGGAAGACATGTTTTTTATTTATCTTTTAAATACAATAATGTGAATCTTATCCCTTTGTTCCAAAAAAACATTGGGCTCTTTAAACTTATTTTAGTATTTATTACTTTCTGAGTATGTCACAGAAATAATGCAATAATTAAATTATTTAAAATATAATTATTACATATGTTAAGTTGCATACTTATAAAATGGTGTAATGGAGCATTTGTGAAATTAAATTCAAGATATGAAATAAAATAATATTTAATTTATTTTTATTTCTGTTAATCTCTCTTGCTTGGCTTATTCATACATGCACATATTTTGAGCCTTAGACTTGTTGATAAATTACCCTGATTGAATAGATATTAATATTTTTCTTTCATTAAAGTATTGCAATCTACCATGTTGCTCAAAGGTCAAAAGACAAAGAAAATGAAAGAATTATCAGAAAAACTGTCCTAGGCTTAAGCACCTAAGAGCCATGGAAACAAAGGGAACAAAGTAAAAGAGAACATTCAACTAAATACATGAACGATAGATTGTTCATTCTTAGCATGAAAATTTTTCATATTTCGATGAAAAGATATTAGTTTACCTGGGATTGTCCAAAATGCAGACCAAAAGACATGGATCGAACCTCTGACCCTCTGGATGGAGGAATACTTGCTATATCTAACATCACACGGGAAGGCGGAATATATGACAACTTATTTCCAGTAATTTTTGATTTCTCTGTATGCTTGTCATTTTCTAGATTATTAATACATAAAAATAATAAATATACATACATACATGAATCAGATAATATCAGAGTTTGCTTCAACTTTAGAAGTAATGCATTATTAATAATTAGTAATAATAATCTGTCACTTTCTCTATTCAGCTGCCAGGATGTTACGATGCTGCTTCCTAAGGTTGGTAGATGGGTGGTTTTCTGGAGGAACAGGAGGGAAACTGAAGCTATTCTATCAACAGCATACCAATATTCTATGACTTTCATGGCTCAAGATTGGGAAGGTTTTGTTTTTGTTCAGATAGAGATGATGCATGAAGGGGTTCAGATTTAAAGGAAGTCCAAATCTCCTAATGGTTTGGAAAAGTTATTAGGACTATAATTTATTTATTTTATTATTTATTTATTTATTTTACTTTAAACAATTATATAGTCACCCATTTAAAAACCAACTCTAGGCAGCTTCTAATTCTATTCTATTCTTTCTTTTATATATACATATACATATACATATACATATACATATACATACACATACATACATACATACATACATACATACAGACATACATACATACATACATACATACGGATGTGTATGTGTGTATTTCCAGCATAACTCTGGAACGCCTTGAGCAATTTCAACCAAACTTGGTACACAGATGACTTACTCTCTGGAATCAAATTCTGTGGGGGTAAGACACCCCTAACACCCCTTGCGTGTGTGTGTGTGTGACTTAAAATGGCTTCTACTGTACAGCATAGTGGACTTGCCATGGTAACGGCTTCACAGTACTCCACAAGGGGGCTCCCTCTTGTGGAGAAATAGAAGACAACAGCATGAGTCCTGACTACAGGATTTTCCTGTCTAATACAGGATTGGGATAAATAAATACCCGGGCAATGCTGGGTTATTGGCTAGTCAAATATAAAAACCACAATAAAACTAAATACATTAAAACATTAAAACCAACTAAAATTTTGCACCAAGTCATATATCCTCACTGGGGGGAAAAGTCAGGACTTCAAAGTTTGATGGGAGGCCAGGAGAATCAAGGTCTGCTCAACTTCAGCAGGAAAGAGGCTGCCACAGAAAAGGAATATTGTTGACTACTTTGGAACAATTTATTTCCACCTAAACTGGCATTTTTATCTCAGCCCTAGTAGATCCCTAGTGCAGAGATTAAAGACAGTAGCTTCTCAGGTGTCAATCCTTGCTTTATGAGCTTAAAGGATTTCTTTCACAGAGTTCAAAGCAAGGATACTGTAAGATGACAGAGCTATCCCGATAGGCTAAAGCCCACATTAAGGTTTATGCTGAGGCTCTCAAAAGTGACAAAGCAACTGTTTTTTGCCATTGCCCTTGCCACTTCTGCACACCCAGAAGAATCATTTTAAGAGGTTTGTTATCAAGGACCTATTAAAATGGAAGGAGAAACTTCATTGCCTTCTGTGGCATGTCTAGTAGATACCTGCAAACAGGATTGTTCATGTTTGTCCCAGCTTTGGGGTTTTGGTTATAACAAATCCTAGTTATCCATTAAATAGTACGTGCTTTGAATAATTTTCATTCATCCAGCCTAAGGACATGGACAAAATTCTTGGTAAGATAAGACCAATCCAGTCATATTTAACTCTGGAATTATACAATTTGGCATGGACAACTTGCCACAGCCATTTCGCCATGGCCATAGCCATCTCACCACAGCTAACCCACTGTGGACATTTCTCTCACCATCTCACCACAGCCAACTCACTCAGCCAACTCACTGTGGGACAATTCCATGCCAGATAAATCAATGCAATGAATGTTATCCACCACGGTTTCTTTGACATTATTTCCATTGACAAAAATTGAAACAGGGTCAAAGAAACAGTGGCAGATAACATTTATTGCATTGGGTTATCCTGCATGGAATTGTCTGTGGCAAGTTGTCCCAAAGTGAATAGGAAGTGATGAGATGGCCACAGCAGGTTGGCCGCAACAAGGGCAGAAGTTGGCCATAGTGTTGGCAATGGCAGCAAGTTGACCACAGCAAGATGGCTATGGCGAGTTACCCTAAATCCTCTTGACTCTTGCCCCTTCTGCCTGATTAAGTCAACCAGGTAGAATGGTTCAGCCTGCCTTTAAAATGTTCTACTTACTTGTAATAGATGATTCCCAGTATTTTCTTATTAATTCTTCCAGTATTTTAATTATATTTTTCCAGATTTGATCAAATACTTCAGCAATCACAGCTTCTTTGATGCAGGAGTTGGGAGAAACAGGAGGAATGCCATATTTAATCTGTTTTTGGGAAAGTTGAGCATTCCTTTGCTCTAAACCTTCATCATCACTAATGAAAGAAGGAAATTAACATTTTATTACTAAGCATTATTAATTATTAATAACTAAATAGTCAATTTAATCAAAGTCCCTTTTGATCAAATACTGCCCCACAGTATTATTTCAGAACTTGTCAAATTATAAATTATGATTTTACCACATTTAAATTCTACCAAGACTCAGTGGTAAATGCATGTGCACAAAAAGCTGTATTTTGTGCACACAGAAAACATGATTCTCACAATTTGTACGATACAAATTGGCCTTCAGTATCCATCACTTGATAATATAATAACAGTATAGGCAATATTGCAAAATATTTTCCCTCATTTGATTTTGAATTAAATAAATCAAATAGAAAATTTCTATTTCTTTTCAGAAAAGCTGCTATATGTACTGAAGCGGTAGTGCTATATTAATAACGTGAGATTAGTATTTTATATATTTCATATATTCTCAGAAATTTTCAAGACAAATGATTTTATAGTAAAGGTTTCTGACAAATTCATGTCATGTTCTTTTGCCTAACTGACTAATTCCAATAAAACTAGGAAAAGCATACATGATTGACATGAAATTCTTCAACAGCTTAATTGCTTAGGCATAAAACATAAAGGTGATTGGTAGAGCTGTTTATATCATTGCTTTGCTCATGCAAACAATCTATTCAGAGAATAAACTTTTATTTTTTGTCTACCTAGTCTTAAAAGCCTCTGATTGTTAAATGACAAATGACATTTGCTAGTTTTTAACCACATGTGTTTAAATTAGCTAACTTTATTATGAAGAAAAAGCAAGTAAAGGTTTCATTTTGAAAACAGCTTCACTCTAGAACAAGGCTGTCAAACACCCAGCCTGCAGGCTGGATGCATCATGCGCTGGCCATGCCCACACCTGGTTTAGCGAAGGGGATACGTTACATGATGCTGCCGTGACAACATCAGTTTGACACCCCGGTCTAGAACAGATTATCAATCTCAATCATTGACATTCACTGATTTAAAGACAAAATAATTTTGCCTACAATTTTCTGCTAACAAAGATGCTGCTTAGAGATACAAGCACAGATAAGTCAAGTATATGTAGATGATTTCATAAAAAGTCTGATTTTTCCTTAGTCATAATTATTTCTTATGAAAGCTATTAAAATTGAACATTTACAGTTCCTTCTTGTCAAATGCAAGATATTCTTCCATTTTTCCTTCTGCATCATAAATTTCTTCCTCCAAGAATGAATATCCAGGTGATTCAGATACAGAAATATCTGATAATTCGGGATGGAATGCTTTGTGTACTGGAAAAGCTGCAGGTACCAGTTTTGATCCTGAGATGCATAACCTAAATTACGGTACACACACAAAAAAAATAATGCTATATTTTTTGTAAGAATTTTTTTTTTGTAATAATACTAGAAGCTATTAGGATAATTATTAAAATTTCCAAGCATAATACACAGAAAAAACAACATATCAACAAAAAACATAAGAATAAAACTTCTCATTAAGTAAAATTCTAATGAAGATTAGCCTCTTACAGCCTTTAATGTGCTTTGAACATCTTACGCAACTTGCCTCATCTATACTCAGATGTTTTCCAACTACATTTGTACAGATGCTAACTTATAACTTTGTTAGACATCTCTAACACATTTCTGATTATTGTTTGGTGGTAAGTACCATGTCACACCTCATACTACTAATGTAGCTGGCAAAATGCTGCATCATAGGGCAACAATTTGGAAACAAAGTACTTCAAAAGGGCTTGCTTACAGAATGTGTCCAAATTCTGAAACCTGTGAGTGCCACGGAATTGAAACTTGGCAAATTTGTAAAACATTTTATGATATAAAAATCCTCAGAAAGCATTTTATGACATGATACAAAATGTTATAAACACTTTCTGATGTCTGACTATGCTATACAATTCAACACGGGATATTTTAAAGAGAGAAATATCTCTGAATGTTTTCTTAATTTTTCAAGAACCTTTCCAGTGAAGGAAGTACATTACAAACTCTGCCATTGTTGAGGGCATTGAAGAACCTGGTAAGGAAATTACCCCTACCTGCTGAGGGTTGTAAGGGGAGAGGAAATGGCCTATATTACATGTGGAAAGAAAAATGACCCAACAAATCGTGGATTGTCTAGTTCTCCTATTCAATCATATAACCCTGTCTTCAACAAAATATAAACCTAACAATATAATAATATGCATAACAATCACTAGCATATTTCATCAGTTATTTCATTTGTTGCAAATTCAGCTATGTTATCCCATGCAATATTTCTGAAATTTAATTACTGTATAATCTATTCTAAAATTACCTTTCCCCATTATTAAAAAACCAATTAGTGCATGAAATACCAATATGCTGCTTCTATTCAGTTGAATGTGGTTATTTAATACATTGGGAGTACCAAATATAACAATCTTAAAATGTCAATAATATATGTCAATGAATAAATAGCTATTAAATTGATGTTAACATACTCTTTCATACTGGTGTTGATTTCACTCAAACTAGGTACAGATTTCGAATACATAGAACTAGAACTTCTGCTCTGGTAATGCTGAAAACCCTCATCTTTTGGAAAAAGAAGCTGTTTTCCCAAAATCCTGTTTTAAAAAAAATGATAATGAAGTAAGGAAATTTAATCTAGGCAGAACAGTTCAATTCAACTTGATATAAGACCGGAAACATAGAACCAGCAGTCAATGGCAGCTACTGTTAAATAACTCAAACTATAAGAGGTTTAAACTATAAGAGACATGTAATTTAAGCCAATGCGAAAAAGGCAAGTTAAGTATATTGAGTAAAAATACATGCAGAAAATAATAATATAATCAGGGACTCAGATAAAATAAATTTTATATAGACTTGCCTTAAATGAAGTGATCTATTTGTCCAGTCTTTGCATTCTGTCTTTAGATTTTCAGTTTGGGAGCTCGCTTTTCCTTCAAACAGCATTTCATCCACATCCCAAAACAACTGATGCACCCTCTGGGTATTCGCTTTATCAAACTCCTATGGATTTTAAAATTAAGATTCTCAAATACTATTTCCACATAGCTTTGCAGCTGAATAATATTCCAGTACTATAGATATTGGGAAGTGATGAGCCTGATTCTAACCTGATTCTAGCATCTTCAAGATAAAGATACAGTATCGACTTCCGGTTTGTCGGCTTCGCTAGCGGCAGGGATTCGCGATACTGCGCGATCCCTGCTGCGCTAGCCGTTTTGGTGCTCCGATCCGGACGGGTTTGGAGCTAAGGCTGCCCTGCAGGGGCGGCTGAAGATAGGGGGGATCCGGAGAGGGGTTTGGGGGTGTTGCAGACCCCCTCCCTGGCCGGCAGAACCCCCTTTTCTCAAGACGGTGCAGCGGAGGTCCGTAATGGCCGCCACAAAGAAGCCGGCAGCTGGGCAAGAATGCGCAGGAGGAAGAGGATAAAGCTTTTGAAAGTGAAAGTTTTTCTTGGTTGACGCAGGACTTTAAGACACATTTAACATAATTCCTGGAAATTATGGCTTTTTGAAAGATACTTTCCAGAAGAGAAAATAAGCGGCAATTTTTTTTTTATTTTTATTTTTTAAAAAAAACAAGTTTTATTAATTTTTAAAACACACAAATTATCATTATTCATTACATGTTTAAACCTTTTTTCATTGTAAATTTAACAAGTCAGATAAATTATGATTCTATTTTAAACCATTTCCATATAACATACAAAAACCTCTTATTCAATTTCTCTTTACTTCTCTTTACTCTTATTCAATATTATTATTATTATTTCATCTATTTCTTTCTGACTTAGTTACCATTATTCTCATTCTATATTTCTGCAAGCTTTTACTAATTCTCCCCCCCAAAAAAACATATACACACAACACACAAAACATAAAAAAAATCTTTTTGGAAAGTAACTTGGACCTAGGTATCTCTCTCTTCATGGACTTCAATTATCTTCATGCTCATCTTACATATCATTACTTATTTTATTTACCATTCTAAGTCTTCTATATTAACTTCTCCACATATTTCACTCTTCTTAATTCTATCTTAATTAATCATCTTAGTTTGAATCATTATATTTGTATCTTTTGTCCATTTTTTATCGTCCCTTTGTCTCATTCCTTATAAAAAAGAAAAAAATAAGTTTCTCCTGAAATCATTAATCAGAGTATGATGCCTTTCTATCTCCCCCCTAAATTAATCAAATTAACCTTTAAGATAACATCCAATACCCAATCCGATTTTGCTTGGTACATTCTATCTAACTAGTACATCCAAAATATTTAAATACATAATTAGACAATAAATCCAAATATTAAAAACAAATACTATAATAAAAATTTTATAATAACATCAATACCATAATCTTATTAAACTCTTTAATTAAAACAGTATTCTAAACCTCCCCTATTATTAAATTTTAAAGCCTATCATTATTAAACATTTTAACATTTTAATCTCTTATCAACTCTTAAACAATTACAATACTACCATCTCATCTTATGTACCTTGCAAAATCTTTTTGAAAAAATTATACTTTATCCATTATCCATAAAAAATTCCTTTTTTTTATTTAATTTCAAAACATTGTAGCTTTTCTCCACCTTTTCCCTTTCTTTCTTCTCCCAACAAACCTTTCTAACCCCCCTTCTTCTAGCCTCTGCCTTACTGGCTTCCCTTCTCTGTCGTGTTCCTTTTCCCTTTTGTTTACTGTCATCATATTGATTTTGCACCTTATTTTTCCCTTTCTTAAATGTTTTTTTAGATCTTAAGTCTTTTAGTTCTCTTCTTTTCTCTCTTCCTTCTTTCTTGATCAAATTCTGAGATTCATTAAAAATGGCTCCTTCCTTTCTTTCTTGTTCCTCTGCTGTCTTCATCTGTTGTAATGTTTGTTGATAGTTAGTAAGCGCCATTTCTAAAAAAAAGGAAAGCTTCTTCCACACCATCTTGACCATTTTTTTTTGCTTGTTCATATTCTTTTCTTAGTTCCTCAACAGAAAAAGCCATTATAAATCTTTTCTTTTCTTTTCCCCTTCTTTCTTCTTACAACAACCAGAATATTCCAAAGAAAATAAAAAAAATAAAGCAGTCCCAAAGTTATCAGTCAGTCCAAACCAAGGCAGAGTTCTCACTTTCTCCTTCTGGGGTAATATCAATCAAAGAGAAAGAAAGTCCAAATCTGTTTAAAATCTTATTGCAATATATTCTAGTCTTCAAATCCTTAAGGCATCTCCTCCAACAAAGTCTTAGCATACAAATATTTTCTTTTTAATCCTCTCTCTTCCCACTCATCGCTTAAAACCAATTTTCACCTAAAAAAAATAGGTTTCTTAATATCCAGTTATTTATTCCGTAGGAAAAGAGGGTAAGCTATCCTTTCAGCACCATCAAACAGCCGCTTTTTTCCTCTTCTGGCAGGTATTATTCAGAAAGTCATACTTTTCAGGAATTTTATTAAATATGTCTTAGAGTCCTAGGAGCCAAGAAAAACTTTCTCCTTTCAAGCACTTTCTCCACTTCCTCCTGCGCATTCTTACCCGGCTGCCAGCTTCTTTGTGGCGGCCATTACGGACCGCCGCTGCACCGTCCTGGGAAAAGGGGGTTCTACCGGCCGGGGAGGGGGTCTGCAACACCCCCAAACCCCTCTCCGGATCCCCCCTACCTTCAGCTGCCCCTGCAGGGCAGCCTAGCTCCGTACCCGTCTGGGTCGGAGCCCCAAAAGCGGCTAGCGCGGCAGGGATCGCGCAGCTTCGCAAATCCCTGCCGCTCGCGAAGCCGACAAACCGGAAGTTCCCATATAAGCGGCAATTTTGAGGTGCTGAAAGGAAAGCTTACTCTCCTTCCCTACGGAATCAACAAGTGGATACTGAGAAACCTGTTTTTTTCAGGTAAAAACTGGCTTTCTGTGATAAGTGGGAAGGGAGAGGACAAAAAATATATTTATATGTTAAGATCTTGTTGGAGGAGATGCCTTAAGGATTTGAAGACCGAAATGTATTGCAATAAGGCTTTAAGATACAGATTTGGATTTTCTTTTTTTGATTGATACTACCCCAGGAAGAGAAAGTGAGAACTTTGTCTTGGCTTGGATTGATTGATGACATTGGGATTTTGGGATTGTTCTATTTTTTGAAATATCTTGGTTGTTGTAAGAAGAAAGAGGGGGGAAAAAAGAAAAGAAAAGATTTATAATGGCTTTTTCTGTTGAGGAACTGAGAAAAGAATATGAGCAAACAAAGAAAGATGGCAAGGATGGTGTAAAAGAAGCCTTCCTTTTTTTAGAAATGGCGCTTGCTATCTATCAACAAACACTAAAACAGATGGAGGCAGCAGAAGAAGAAGAAGAAGAAGCCATCTTTAATGAATCTCAAAATTTAACTAAGAAAGAAGGAAGAAAGAAAGGAAGGAAAATGAAGGACTTAAGATTTAAAAAAATACTCAAGAAAGAGAAAAATAAGATGCAAAATCAATATAATAATAGAAAACAAAAGAAAAAAGGAACACAACAGAGAAGGGAAGCTAGCAAGGCAGAGGCTAGGAGAAGGGGGGGGTAGAAAGGCCTGGTGGGAGAAGAAAGAAAGGGAAAAGGTGGAGAAAAGCCACAAAGTTTTGAAATCAGATGGGAAAAGAGGAATCTTTTTTAGGGACAAAGGGTAAAGTATAATTTTGTTAAAAAAGGTTCTGCAAGGTACATAAGATGGTATTGTAGCATTTGTATTAGAAATAGAAAATTAGAATGGTTTAAGAGTTAATAAGAGATTAAAATGTTGAAATGTTTAGTAATGATTGATTTTAAAATTTAATAAAATATTAAAGGGATAGTTTAGAATATTGAGTTTTAATTAAAGAGTCTAATATGACTATGGTATTGATGTTATTATAAAACTATTATTGTAGCATTTGTTTTTGGAAAAGGCAATTGTAATGTTATAAGATTCAATATTTAGATTTATTATTTAACTATGTACTTAATCATTTTGGATTCATTATTTTTCTTTATTAAAAAAAAAAATTAGTAGATAGAATGTACCAAGCAGAATCAGATTGGGTATTAGGTGTTATTTTAAATGTTAATTTAATTAATTTAGGGGGAAGATAGAAAGGCATCATACTCTGATTAGTGATTTCAGGAGAAATTCTTTTTTTTTATTATAGGGAATGAGACAAATGGATAATAAAGAATGGACAAAAGATACAAATATAATGACTTAAATTAAGATGGATTAAATAAGATAGAATTAAGAAGAGTGAAATATGTGGAGAAGCTAATATAGAAGACATAGAATGGTAAATAAAATAGGTAATGACATGTAAGATGAGCATGAATATAATTGAAGTCCATGTAGAGAGAGGTATCTGGGGCCAAGTTACTTTCCTAAAAGATTTTTTATATGTTTGTGTGTTGTGTGTTTATGTTCTGGGAGAATCAATAAAACCTTGTAGAAATACAGAATGAGAATTATGGTAACCAAGTCAGAAAAAAATAGATGAAATAATAATAGTGAAATTGAATAAGAGTAAAGAGAAGTAAAGAGAAACTGGATAAGAGGTATTTGTATGCTCATATGGAAATGGTTTAAAATAGAACTATATTGTATAAAATAAGGTTTTATTTGACTTGTAAAATTCATAATGGAAAAAGGTTCAAGTATGTAATGGTTAATGATGATTTGTTTGTCTTTAAAATTAATAAAATTTGGGTTTTTTTTTAAAAAAAGATAAAGATACAGTATCCTGAATCTATCCAAGGAGTGTGTTCCACTGCAACCCCTTTCATATCCACTCAATCCATCTGGGCATCACACAGTTTAGAGAATGCACACAGGAAAAGAAAAAAACACGAATACAGCAAAAGGGAATAAAGAAACAGAGAAATAATAACAGGAAGGAAAGAAGCTTAAGAGAAAATACCTTTGGGACACAAGAAACCAAAGATTAGGCTAAATAAGGGGGGGGGGGAACAGAATACTCCTTGAATCTATTCAAGATCTTTAACAGAAATGACCATAGGTGGAATCTTCTGTATAGTGAAATACAGGCAATCTCATTTAGTAGTCGCTAAGCAAAACCATGACTGTGCATACGAACTTCAGCTTTCCTTTGCTTTACAAGCCTGCCGTAAATGTGAGGACTGTTGTAGTCTTAGAGTTATAAGTATAAACTGTCCCTAAATGAGGCAGCTATATAGACAAGGACTATTTATAACATGTGTGTCAGCATATGTGAGTTTGTTTGTTTCTGCTCCCCTCCCTTTATAATGAGTTTGTGTCTTGTGCACTGGATATTGTGCTGCATGTTCTCTGCTCTGGGTGAGGTGACCAAATAGAAGTGTGAGCTGAGAATCAGCAGTTCTCTGAGCCAATGCCCCATTGCACCTCCTATAGAAATGCCTTGGAGTGATTTCTTCTGTTTTTATCAATTACATCCAGACAAATCTGACCTTTTTTAAAGCTTTCTATCATCATATTAAATGGTGTGGACTGCCAGCTTCCAGCAGAGCTGGTGGCAGACTTGGACAGTGAGGAGATTGGGGAGGAACTTGGGCCAGTCCTGGAGTCTGGGAAAGGCTCTGATGGGTGCTCTGCGTCAGAGGCAGAGATGAGGCTAAGGCTTCCGACATTTATCAGATGCCTTCGGAGTCAGAAATGGGGAAAAAGAATAGCTGGAGCCTGTTCCAGATGCATGTATGTGCAGAGCTGTCAGGAGAAGGGAACAACTAAGAAACGGGTTGACTTGGAAGAAAACGCACAAATGGACATTGAATGGCCCCTCTCATAGGGAATAAATAGGAGCAAAAGGGGAGGGGTGTTTGCAGAAGACAATTAGTTCACTTATTATTGTGAAGATTTGCTTATCTGAGTTCGAGCCTCATAGAGACTCCTTGCCAAGTATTTCCTTTTACAGTGTTGTGACTGGAAGCTCTCGGCCTGGCAACTATCCAAGGACTGATAAGATCTGTTCTTGCACTTAAACCTGGGAAGGATTATTGTCGGGACTGTTCTGGGTATGAATGCCAGGAATTCACATTAACCAAATTTTAAAAATTGGGGGGGGGGGGGACACAAGGGGTCTGTTTTGTGATTCTATTCAGCCTGGGTCAGAATATTAAATTTGGTCCAATTCTGCTTGTTTTTCAAAGTTATCCTACCAACATACAGGAAGACACAGTAAGTCCCATTATATAATTTATTTCCAGAGATCCATTAGGTTGGGAATTAAAAGGGTAAATAACAGAATGAATGTTAGATTATGTAATAAAGAATAGGAACAACAATCAATTTAGGAAATGAACATGGCCTTGAATATAAAATAGTTTTGGAAAAAGTGGATCAGAACATCACCAAAGGAAGTAGGGTAAATGAAGGAAATGAAGAGAAGAAAAAGAAGAAAATTCCTGCTTAAAAGGACATTCATGGAAGTGGGTGGCATTCTTCTGCCAAAATTAGAAACAAACTGACTTCAAATCCAGCTGCTGGAAATGAGGGCAGGAAAAGATTATTGTTTTTGTGTTCTGCATGTAGGTTTCTACAAATTGGCCTTGATGACAAAATGATTTAGCTGGATCTCAGTTATTATGAGCTTTTCCTTTCTTATACAGCTAAAATAAGAAGGGAGGAAGGATTAAGAAAAATTACTGACAAAGAATGACCAAAGGAAATACACGCACAAGATGAGTGAAATTAATTAGAAGCAGAATATACATACATACATACATACATACATACATACATACATACATATACATACACACACACACACACACACACACACACTCACACAAATAGGACTGGTGACATGAATCAGCTGAAAGAGAATGAGAGAAGTGCTTAGCCAAAGATAGAATGAATGGAACGAAGTTTAAAATGAGTAAATTCAGAAGGAACGCAGGACTTGTGAAGAACAGGAGTTATTTAACCAATGTGTGCTGCAGAACAAAAACTACATGGAAAGAGCTTTTCATCATTGACAATTATGTTTTAAAAAGCAGAATTAGGACAACAAGCAACAGCAGGTTCTAAGGGAAATAATGTCAGAAGAATTTATATTCACTAAGCAATGATTATTAAGAAAAAGGTAACCTTAAAAGCAGAAATAGAAGATTATAAAAAATGAAGCACAGCTGAGAAAAAGAATAGCTAAAATAACCTATAGTTTAGTCCAAGAAACTACAGTTTAGTCAAATAAGCATAGGACATGTTCATTCTTCTCAAAGTTTGCTTATCATCATGACTTTAATATAGATAAGTCCTTGCTTAACAACTCTAATTGGGACAGGCAACTTTATCGCTAAGTGAGATGGTCAGTAAGCAAAACATAATGTGATGCTGCATAGTAAAAACAGTCCCAGAAGTCCTAGTGGTCATTAAGTGGACATGGAGTCATTAAGTGACACATCTCATCATGGTTACTTGCAACTTCCTGCCAGTTTTCCCATTGACTTTGCTTGTCAGAAGCTGGCTGTTGCAAATGCTGATCATGTGCTGCACAATCCATAAAAATGTGTGACAGTTGCCAAGCACCCAAATTGTGATCATGACTGTGGGAACATTGTGGCAGTCGTAAGTATGAGGATGAGTTACTTTTTTCAGTGCCATTCTACCTTTGAACAAATAGCTCCTAGGAAAGGACTACATGTATATTCTTTTATGATGTACTTATTTTTATTTTATTTTTCTTCCTAAGTAAGAAAATGTGTAAGATGATTTAAAAAAACCTTTTAACCCTAATAAATATAAACTATATTCCTTCATAGTTCTTAAATAGAGAACCATGATTTAATGTTAATTTGGGGTTTTGTTTTTGTTGTTATTCTTTTCTGTGCTTTCAAGTCAGTCCTGACTCCTGGCAACAAGTCCTTGAAATGTTCTTGGCAAGGTTTTTCAGAAGTGGTTTGTCATTTATTGCTTTCTAGGGTGATCATCCTGTTGGCTAAAGTGGGACTGGAACCCAGGGTTTCCTGGTTTCTAGCCTAGTGCCTTAACCACCATACCAAATTGCCTCTCAAAATGTTGGTTAACAACCTAGATCTTTTACCTGGAACAACTGTGGTTTCAAAAATACTGATTAATTATCCAATATTCAGCTAGACTTTGTCAGTTAAACTTGGAATGGACCAGAATTAATGTATCAAAATTGAAAGTAAGAAGAGAAAAGACTGTGAATCTACCTAAAAATAACTTCTTTTCAAACAAATATTAAGCTCCACTGTTATCAGAAATCTCCACCATATTTTTAAACACATTTTATACCAACTTCACTAATGAAGGTTGACCTACATCATCGCCCCAGGAGTAAACAGAACTTCTTTCAGTAGATGGGCCAGTGGTATAGCTCTGTATCCCTGACCAAGAGTTATTCAAATCTGTGGGGGTTGTTTGTCCACTTGGTGAAAGTGAGGAAACAGAAGCCCTGTTGATAGAAACAAAATTTAAATGCAATGTTATAGATTAATAAAACATGACCAGGAGATCCCAATGCAGTAAAAGGTTAATAATTAATATGAATCTATTTACTGTAGCAAATACAGGTGTTATTGGATTATATGGCAGAAAAGCAATGACTATTTCAGTGGATAGTAGAATATACATTTGCATATTCATTTCCATATGCAAACCTCCATGACAGATTTGTTGTAAAGGAACAAATTTACATAAGTCTTACACTTAATTGCTCTCCCAGGAGTATCTCTCCTGGGGCACCTATGGTGGAAGAGGAGCAGATGTCACTTACACTGCTTCTACTCCAAGACACATATTTTATAATTAGGTAAACGATGCCATTGTTTTTCTCAATATGGATGCTTAGCAATTTTATAAGTTGTTGTTATTTCATTTTAGTTTTTATATTTTAAAGCCATGTAGAGTTGCAGCCATGATTCTATAAATGAAATAAAATTTAAAAAGTATTTTTGTTCTTGTAACAGATTTTGATATTGTGTGCTATGGATTTAAATTCAACAGTCTGTATACCTATCTAAGTAGTTATGTGCTGCAGTCTTGGGAATACAATTAGCAAAATTAATGGAATTTCTAAGCAGTAGATAGAGAGGGATGTATCTATCTATTCATCCTTTTATGAGATTTTTTATCTGGTAACTAGTTTGTAACTATATCTTCCAAACAGCCTTTCATATGTAAATAATGTTTTTCAGGTCTCTCTACCTTGATCCTTGGTGGTTCTGTGGATAAGTTTATATTAACTTTTTGGCAATAATTTGAAAGTGTTTAGTCATTAGGGTAGTTTTTCAACTTCTTAACTCAGTCTACAGGAAGTTTGGCTAGGGACTGCCATGTCTGTCAGCAACCACAGGTGTAGAATTTTGTGGCATGTTAAAAGCTAATAGGTTCATTCAGCTGTAGGCAGACATACATATTCAGGACCGAAAGGAAAACAAATAAAGGTGAGGTCAAAAGTGCAAAAGATATTAATGTGCTCCTGCTATTAAAATAACAGAACCTGTTATTTACAGGACTATTGCAGGAGGGAATCTGACATTATTTTAATTGTATCTTTTACCTAGTGGTAAAAGTGGAGGTGGAGAACACAAGATGAGCAGGATAGTAAAAGTGGCTTTGAAATCCAAGCCCAACCATTTTTACAGTATGATCACATACATGTCACAAGATCACATACATGTGGAAAATTACAGGTCTTACAGGATGATGCTGTATCCACCTCCTTGCCCATTTTGTTCCCCATTCCTACTGAAATCCTAATGCTTATCTTTACTGAAGAAATAAATATTGTGTATTTCTTCAGATATTCATAGTAAAATGGCTCTTGATTCCAGTCCCAATTTCAGGCCTCCAAAATACAGTGTACATAGTATTATGGGTGTTCTAGCAAGACCCATTTTGTAGAAGATTCCTTTTAAGATCATTTTCAGTGTTAACTATACAGTGTTTCAGGCAAACATTTTTCACGCACTAACCACTTGAATCTCATGCAAAGCGTAGGTTATAACCCAGAACTATCATCTCTGCTTTATATCAAATCCAAGCAATATTTCAAAACTGTATATTTCAAGTCATAGGACAAAAATCTCCCTTCTAGAGCTTGTGACTTTTTAATTTCCAGATAAGCCACACTATGAATTGTTTTAAAGATATTACACTATTGAAAATTGCCATGCTAGACTGAGAGGGGCTTGGGGAAGGAGAAAATGTAGAAGTGTTTTGCTCTTTGAAATAAAATCTGTCTTCTCATATCAACTTATCCTATGCATCTATTCACTTTTAACAATAAAATGGGATAAATATTGAATAAATATTTATTGCAATTTTAGAAATCAATACATACAAGGAATAGTTGTCAATTGCTTCTTGTACACTTTTTGTAAAAGGCGCTGGAAGGCGATATTCATTTTTTGCTTGAAAATGATGGTCCACAAGTCTTTTCGACAGCCCTTTTCTAAAAGAATTAGATGCAATTAATTCTAATTTAGGGCTTTTTCACTCATAACTTCACAATGTACAGTTGATGAACACTATTATCAGCGTACTGATGATATCTCACCCCATGGTGACAGATGATCTCACCCGTTTTGTGTAGATGTTAAACAGGAGCAGAGAAAGCACTGACCCTTGAAGGACCCAGCATAGTAAGGATCAAGGGTCAGATCGCTTGCTACAGAGCTCATTCTTTGTGTTCCACCAGGAGCACTCTAGACATAACTTGATTTGCTTGATCTCTCTCACTTATTCCATATATCACGGGGCTTGATCAGATCCATGAGTCGAGAGAGATCACTTATTTAAAGTGATCTAAAACTTCAGTTATCTAAAACTTCAGCTACACTCCTATTCCAGGTGAAATTAGGATCTCAGCAGGTCTATGCAGATCTTCACTTATAATCCCTGACTCCCTCTGAAACCCATCGAGGTCCATCAGTCACTGAGGGCAGACCAATTAATAGGTCCCACCTCCCTGCAGAGGTACAACCCTAGAGAAGTTCATAGCTATCAGATTGTGATAGGATTATGCAAGGGGACCAGGGTTAGGTCAACCAATTCCAGATCACAAAGGCACTGCTTTAACAAGAAGACCAAATCAGGTGGGTGATCATTACTTCTAGCCTGGATGACTTGGGACAGGCCCATGGAAGTCATGGCTTCCATAAATTCCAGAGTTACTATACCTCCCAGGGAAAGTCTCCTGAACCATTAACCAGGTGAAGATTGAAGTCTCCTGAACCATTAGCCAGGAGACCCAACAACAACCCTGAATGGTGCTAGGTGCTCAGGCGGAGAGGCTGCTGCCCAGCAAGGCAGCTGGTGCAATAGCAGCTGTCCCGACTACTCCTGAGCCCAACCCTAAGAAAAAGGGGCTCATCATTGGTTACTTATGGATAACATTATAGCACACAAACATAACATTACTGTATCACATTAAAACAATAGAACAATAATTGTATGGGTTTGTTTTTTTTAAATTATATAATTTTTAAAATGCATGTGAAATATTTTGAGCATTCACAAACAATATAGATATGCAATATTATCAAAACCAAATAAACTTACTGTTCATGTATTATACCATAATGCTTATCCACCTTATTTTTGAGGGAGATAAAAGTCAATCATTATTGTATTACATCCCCCTTGCCCGGCCTGTCAAAATCAATAAATGGGGTTAGAAAAATATATAAAAAGTACCCGCTTTGGGGATCCATTTTTCTTTTATAATTACAAGATGTACCAAGTATAAAGAATGGGGTAGCATCCAACATCTAGTCCTTAAAGCCAAGCTATATAAATGCACTTCATGCACAATCTGTAGAATTTCTCTCCAGAAATTATGGCATGATAACTCTAATAACTCTGAGAATGGCCTTGATGCAGAAAGGATATAATTCTATCATTCTCCCAATATATCTAATTTTTTGTTCTGTAGCTCGTATATGGAAGTGCTATACCTATATACAAAATAATAAATCTAATAACAATTTTAAAGGGCAGTTACTGTATATTTAACATTTGGTGCTGAATATACATATTAAATAACTTCTCACAAAAATGCAATTTTTACATATTACCATTTAGATAAACATCTATGAAGTGCAAGTTGTATATTTACCATGGCACACAAAATTGTTACTAATTAACCGATTCTTCCAGAGGACATTTTAAGGAAAAATATACTACTTCCTTATCAAAGCACAGCATTAGATTCTTCTCAGGAATATATTCCCTTGTATTAAAACCGCATATGGATTATCACAATACAGTATATGAAAAGGAATAAAACTTAACACTCTTAACCAAACTGAAAGGTTTTTCCATTTTTGTTCTAGATAGATTGACCTGCACTATGTGACACTGTTTACATCATAAGGGGTTTGTTACTGCTTGTTTTTGATATATTTGCTCTGAATAAAATTGTCAACAAGGCAATGAACCTTAGCCTTGTTCTTAAAAACTCTTAATGAAAAAATAATGCAAAATGTCACCTAAAGCAAACTATTTTGTTTTTAGACTTTCCAGGTTCATATTAACACCCCTCCTGTTTGCAGTGTATTAACTTACACCTTCAGATTTGTGCTGTGATATTCAGCTCATTGTAGAAAATGCATTATTCACAAGGAAGCAGCCCACCAACATAAAATCTGAGCCACAACCTCATGTATCCAGAGAAGCTTGCTTCCTTAACCCTCCCTTCACAAAATGATGGGATATAGAGGAGCTGAAACGAAATGCTGTAAATATATGCCGATAGGAGAATAATCAAACAGTAGAATACACATATATACATATATACATGCATGCATCCACACCCATCTTGGACTAGCACACTGCATCCTCATCCCTCCTGACTTACCCTATTACAATCAGTTCTGACTCCGTCTCTGGCTGATGGGGGCTAGCAGCACCAGGCAGGCTGCAGGGACATCGTACCCCACTAGCAAAGCGCATGAAGCTTCCCTGCTCCTCCTTTTGAACGAACTCAGCGATCTCAGCCTCACTCTCACTTATTCCCAGTGAATCCTTTCATTTCTGCATGTGGTTGTTTCCTTCCCAAAGAGAGACTAGTGAATATGCATGCATGCCAGTGCCTTAAAGTGTGCAGTGTGGGAGTGTAAATGAAAGAGGAGGAGAAAGAAGGAACGGCTGCAGTTTTAAGCTTTCCCCGGTGTCTTATACAGTTCTGTTTCTTCGTATATTCTCTCCCAGAATTCTCTTTTCAAGGCATGGTTACCAGATACAAACACATCTTTGAAATATTCCAAAATAGTCAAAATCAAAAGAAATAAGCAATGGAAAATAGATCTACAGATTTCACCATAGCATTTAAAATCTTACCTTTCTGCAAAAAATGACTGATTTCTGTATTTCTAAAGCTAATAAATCTGCTGTTTGGCTATAATGGTCAGATAGTTTATTTTGAAAATGAGGAAGGCCGTCTTGTATTTCCAGTTTTTTTTTTAAATTCATGCCCTTTCTCTGTCCCTCCCACAAAATGTTTTTTAAAGAAGTCTCTCTCTCTCTCTCTCTGTCTCTCTCTCACACACACACACACAACACACACACATTTCTTCTATATATTTATAATTAATTTGTGATTAGGTTAGCGTGGGACCCTTTATACCATATATCAAAGAAGGAAAGAAATTAAATAGGCTGGGGATTCTTTTATGCTCATTCTTATGTTCTGCTGACTGAAGCACAAAGTTGTCCTACTGATCATTTTTACAGGAGATGACCTCACACTGCAGCCCTTTTCCCATTCCCAGCCTACCTTGGAAACAGACTAAATTCATCTTTAACTGTTTCATTTTTAAAGTAAATTGCTTTGTCTTCTTTCAACATATGTTTTAGCATATAAATGTTCTATGATATATCCTTCCCCCCTGGTCATCGGAACTGTCATCCATCACTTGTGGTACAGAAGACATCGGACATCTGATAGGTGAGGAAGGAACCAGGAGTCACAAAGTGGCATATGTGCATTGTAACATTCCTTATAGAGAGCCAGTTTGGTCTAGAGTCCAGGCTAAGGTCCCCCCCCCTCTCTCTCTCATTCTTCATACTGCTCTGACTCATCTAGAACAGCAGGGGGGCTATGTGAGGATGCTTTTTGTGGATTTTAGTTCTGCGTTTAACACAATTCTTCCATGTAGACTAGTGTCTAAGCTTCTGGACCTTGGACTTTCTAATTCAATCTGCCTTTGGATTATGGATTTCCTGTCTGGCCGCTCACAGAGGGTCAGATTAGGTAATCATACCTCTTCAGCCCTTATTCTTAACACTGGTACACCACAGGGTTGCATGTTGAGTCCCTTACTCTATACTCTTTATGTGCATGACTGCATTCCCACTCATGCTAGTAATACTATTGCTAAATTTGCAGATGATACAATAGTGGTGGGACTCATCTACGGGGGGGGGGGATGAGTCTGCCTACCGAGATGAGGTGTACCGGTTGCTTTCGTGGTGTGGAGACAATAACTCGGTCCTCAACACCAATAAGACCAAGGAGTTTATAGTGGATTATAGAAGGAACAGATCAAACATCCAGCCCTTGCTTGTCAATGGAGACTGAGTGGTGCAAGTGGCCAGTTTTAAGTTTCTGGGTATTACCGTAAAAGACGACCTGACCTGGGGTGCTCACACTGCAGCACTGGTCAAAAGGGCCCAGCAGAGATTATACTACCTGAGTCTTCTCAGAAAACAACAACTGAATGAGAAACTGCTGGTGACCTTCTACCACTGCACCATAGAGAGTACCTTAACTTACTGCCTCTGAAGGAGGATGTTCCACAGAGCAGGGCCCACAGCAGAAAAGCTCATCTTCTAGTCCCCACCAGCCAACATTCTTTGGCTGATGAGATCTGCAGCATCTGCAACTGAAGTAAGCTCATTCTGCTCAACCTGGTTGGATGGGTAGAGACTCTTGAAAAAGAAGCAATCCCGTGTAGAGAATGTTACAGTAGTCTAAACTGGAGGTTACAAGGCCATGAGTTACTGTAAGCAGGGTCTCCTATCCAGGGATGGATGCACACCATTCAAAGGTGTGCAAAGGTATTCCTAGCCTCTTTCAGCAGGTGCCAGAAGCCCAGGAGAAACCTCAGATTTTGCTCTGCATCTCTTTGTGGAAATTCAACCCAATCCAGAACCAGAGATGGAGAAACCTTGTTTCCAGTGATTTCAAATACCCACAGCCATTTTGTCTTGCTAGAGTTGAATGAAATCCAGTCCACAACAGCCTCCAGGGGGGATTGGAATAGGATGTCCACAGCATTACTCAAGGGGTCTTGTTTTCTCTGTTTTTATTTGTGGACTCCCAAAATTACAGGGAATTAGTTTAAAAGAAAGTAACAAATAAAATAAGGTTTCATTGGATAACAATCCTTGGAAGCAACCTCTCCCCAACCCCCAAATTTTACAGCTCCACTATGGTTTCTTGATTTGAAGATATTAGGCCTTTTGCGTGTGTGACCTTTTGCATTTTGGAGGAACAGAGTCAATTAATATCTTGCAAACTTGGCAACTTT